TTCAAATCAATAACGCATCAGCATTTCGATGGACGTTTTATGAGACAGGGAATTTACTATAAACAAATGCCTTTTAAACCGGCCGTCCGATTACTGTGCCATATCTTCTTTACTATTGCATTCTTCTCCCTGAACAGTATTTAGGTCGTCTGGAGATGCGTCTGCTCCAACTGAAGGAGGAGAATGCGCATCTGCGTCAGGAGAACCATGAATGGCGTCACCGCTATGATCACCTAGAAAAGTGTCTTGAGGATATACGATCCGAGCTCTCCTCTCTGTCGCCTTCATCTTCCTCCGGTCTAGTAGCCCCACCAGTTACCTCCATCCCCACCTCTTCCTCGTCATTCCCCTCCTGCTCCTCTTCCTCCTCCTCCCCAAGGAATTCTTGTACCTCGCCGTCCAGCCCGGGCGCCCCAGTGCCCCTCGACACTCTTCCTCCCACCAGCCTGGCTGTCAACACTCCTCGCCTCGCCATGCTACCTACCATCTTACCGAAGAATGAAACTCGTCCTCCGCCTTCGGGTACTGCCACAACTTCTGTTGCTGATTCTGCTGCACCTCTTTCGCGTAATATTCGTAAGTCGAAGCTGCAGCCCTTGAATCATCTAGAATGTTTTTCCCTACAGTCTCCTATCTAGCATGCTCCCTGAGACCGGGCTAGCGAGAAAAGTAGCCCGGCAGTAGCTTTCAGCGATTTCACAACAACATACGGTCGTTTAGTTTTGCCTTAGGGTCCCTACCTAGAGCCTTGAGAGACTGGAAAGATGTCCTGACCCAGGTTTGTGGTTTAGTTGACTCTTAATGACAGATAAATCCGAGATTGCCGTCCCAACCACCCTTGCCATTCTCGGTACTGCCTAGCGAAAGTCAGACATTTTTCACACCGTTAGCCTCGGATCGTTCTCTCGAGCATTAAAATGGGCCTTTTAGTTTTATTTTGACGATAATGCAATGAAGAATAACGGTCTCACTAGTTTCAAATGATAAGTCGCTCAGACCAGACGCTTTTTTGACCTTTTTGGTTGGGAGACCTATTCCTAGTAGTATTGCCGGCAAAGACAACGGGGACAGGAATGGCCATTTCTGGCTAATTAGCCGTCGTCAGCCAGTCATATCCGGACCCAAGTGGTGTCCCACCCGAACCTTGAACTCGCGACCTCTTTGATCAGAGTCAAACGCCCTAACCATTAAGCCACGAGCTCGTTGTCGTGCCGTTTTGGGTCGGGGATTTCGAGGCTCAGGTGGGACGCCACTTGAGTCTGGGTATGACTGGTTGACGACGGCTAATGAGTCAGAAATGGTCATTCCCGTCTCCCCTGTCTTTGTCGACAATACTATCTCCCTCTACTGCCGGCTGCTACGGCTGTCAGAGGCTCTGTTGAGGTAAAGAAGACAGGTGATCGAACATCGGAACGATTTGTTTTTTATTCTGACCTTTCGGACTCTTACCGGAGTCCATCGTCAGAGATGGGCAGCAGCAACAAAAGGGTGGCTGGTTATAGCCTGTGACCAAGAAGTTAAAATTTGAATATGTAAAAAATCAATAACTGTAAGGTTTGAGCGCCTAATGGCCACATCAGCAACGAAAATGGGGGCGATTATAGAGGATGTAGGGCCAAATAATTATGACGGGAATTCTGTCAACAGATGTGTCGAATTGGCGCTGGCATACAGAGCCTTGCGCTCTTACATACGATCACAGGCAGACGTCCGCCATAATTAATTGGCCCCACATCCCCCATAATCGCCCCATTTCGTTGTTGACGTGGCCACTAGACGTCCAAACCTAACGGTTATTGATTTTTTACACATTCAAATTTTAACTGTTTGTTCACAGGCTATAACCAGCTACTCTTGTTGCCGCTTCCCATATCTGACGATGGACTCCGGTAAGAGTCCAAAAGCTCAGAATAAAACGCAAATAATGTTTGATCATCTGTCTTCCTTACTGATACAAATACCTGGAACGCGAACGTTCTCTTTCATTCACTCTGTCGAGGCCCTAGGCAGAGCGGGGCAGATGAGTTGCGTTGGCGGTTGGTTGAATGTTCATCAACGAGACCTTTTCCTATGTGGTCCTAGTCGTCTTGACTTTTGTAAGTCTTGGCGAGCGAACGCTTTCAGTAACTTCTCATCAGGCCAAACAGTTACAAGG